CTCCCAAGCGGCGCACTCTCCAGTGCACCACCGGGCCGGCCCTATATATAGTGTTATTATTTTCAACATATAGTCAACAAAAAGATTGTTAATGAGATAGTTTACATTCTATTTTTCATACTAAGACTCTAAAATCTGGTACGTATTTTTTATTTATAGCACATCTCGGTTTGGACCAGACACATTTCAAATACTCAGTAGTACCTGTGACTAGTGGCTACCATATTGGATAGGCAGGTCTAGAGCAAGGGCAGAAATGGACACCAAGATATACAAGATAGCTTCAAAGATGCAACGGTAGAGGGCATAATAGGGTCACAAAGTAGGGAGAGGTCAACTCCATGATGGAAGGGCATGGCAAGGAAAATGTCCATGGAAGAGGTGATGCTCAGGTGAAGTCTTAAAAGACGTGCAATGTTGTTCACAAGAATAAGGTACTTAAAGCACATAGCATAAGACCTGGCACGTAGCCAGCACTCTATAAACATTAGCTTCTTTTCCCTACCCCGATTTGCCAGTGCCGGGAGAATGGGATGCTTAGGAAATACTAAGTAGCTTCCTTCTTTTTTTTTAATAACAGAGAATATATAGATCCCAATATTTCACCTCCAGGTTTATATGTGGGAGGGGAAAAAAAGTGTTTTTGTATTCTCTGGCATGAGCAGGATGGGCAAAATGCCTATTACCAGCCAAGCAAAGATGCTGAGAAATATGTCCCCGGAGTTATTCAAATTGGCAACTGAACACCCAAACAAAGGGATAACTCAGACATCAGCCACTGAACCATCGACACAGCACAGGCATGCATCTCCACACATGTGCAGTGATAAAGAGCTTGAGCCTTGGAATCTTTCAAACCAGGGGTCAAATTTGGGCAACTGCTTGGCATCTGAGCTTTCTCCTATTAAAATGGAGGTGATTGTGTTGTATGTCCTAGAATTGCTGTAAAGATGAAATGTAACAGTATAGACATAACCCTATTGCAACCATGACCCACAAGTTCTAGTCCAGAAACCAGATTATGAATGCCTTAGAAACAAGGTTTTTCACTCATTCAATAGAGACTAATCAAATGCTTAGCATGTTTCTAGTGTCTTAGAAATACATAGCCTCTATTATCCAGGAGCTCACAGTTTGGTGATGTGGTAATAAACAAGTTTTATCTCTTGTGTAAATGGCAATTTATTTGTAGAGCCCGAGAGCCTGGTACTGCGAGCTTGTGTGCACTGAGTGGTAAAAAGTGCTCTAATTGATGGAAGACGTCTATCAGGAGCAGAGGAAGAGAGCTATCTGGAGAAGCAACTATCTTTTGACATATTAAT